TGGCAAAAAGAAGCCAAGATCCTGTTTTTAGGTCTTGATAATGCTGGCAAAACCACTTTGCTTCACATGTTAAAAGATGAGGTACTTTTTTTCATTTAATTTTTGGTATATTTTACTTTCTGGGTCCTGTTAGTTTGCTGATAAATTGCTTGAATATTGAGTTTTTAGGCTTAAAGATAGAAGCTTTAATTGTTTTTAGTAAATTTATGGCTACTTTGGATTATAATACGAACTGGGTTTTTGTTAAATTTTGTTGAGATCGAATAAAATGAGGTATTTTTTATTTATTTCATTTTATTTTCAGTGAATTATTTGTTTTTTTATTATGTTTATGATTTTTTTTTCAATCTGTGTTTTGTTTGGTTGCTGAGAAATTGCAGGAACATTGAATAAAGGCTGGAACTTTAATTGTTTTTAAGTTGTTTTTATGCTAAGAAGTCAATATAAACTGTATTTTTTTTTGTTAATTTTTTTTTTCAAGATGGGAAAAGATAGAACGTTGCTTGTTACTAAAGTTTTTTGGCTAATTGGGTTTTTGTTTGATTTTTGTCTCTATAGTTCAAATAAAAAATATACGGAAAGTTTGATTTTTTAATAAACCACTGCCTTTATGTCAAAACTTTGGCTCTCATTGTTTATTTAAAGTTCTTCAACTTGAAAAAATAAAAAATAAAATTAACAACTGATGTTCAATTTCTTTATTTGTTATATTTAATTTCTAGGTCACAAAAAATGAAAAATGAAAAATGAAATGGGTTTTGTTCGGAGTGTAAAATCTTGATTCAATAATTGGAAGTTTGAAGAAATGAATAACTTTTTAAATGGTTTTCGTTATTGAATTTGGGTGTGAGCAGAGATTGGTGCAACATCAGCCAACACAGTATCCAACATCTGAGGAATTGAGCATTGGCAAAATCAAGTTTAAGGCTTTTGATTTGGGTGGACATCAGATTGCTCGTCGAGTTTGGAAAGATTACTATGCCAAGGTTGTTTATTTACTCTCTCCCAAAATTGCATATAGGTTTTTGGTTTCAATGTGGGGATTGGTAGTTCATTGTGATTGCAAACGTAATTTCAATACTTGTGATTGATATTTGCTAGTTTGTGTTGTTTTCTCACTTCTGGTGATGTTAAGGTCTGGAATTTTGGTGAAATAGTTCAGAAATCTGGTGAAGCTGCATAAAAAGGTTAAGGAAGTGTAAGTTACTGTGTGATCAGTTTGGATATGTTTACTTCCCAAGTGTTAATCATATTCATATGGGAGATACCCTGCCTCCATAATCCCAGATAATATTGGATTTTGTGATTATCTGATTCATGGGAGGCTAATAATGAAATAGGAGTTCGCTGATAGCACTTTTGGTCTTTGCAATGTGTTTCGCTAGTACCTCACCATACATTTGCTTTCATTTTGCTTTCAGGATAATTTTTGCTGACTCTTGTTGGATGCTAAGAGAGATGAGCTGCATTCTTATTTTCTACTTTGAAACATAGAATGCCCTGGTTTTCAGTTTACTTTTTATATTTTTGGTAATTGGTAGTGTATGAATAACTGCATTGATAAAATGGCGTATTATCAACCTTTATTTAAGAATCATCTGGGTGAATTTTATTATGTTCTCCTGGGATTCATGTTTGCCCTACTTGTTCTCACATGATTTCTTAGCTGTTTCAAGTTTTTGTTACATGATGAATAGATGACTGTTAGAATGTTATTGTCAGATTGGTTTGTCCTTTCTGTGTTGTCCTGCTGAGTTTTGACATGAAGTTCTTTGCTTGTGAAGGTGGATGCTGTTATTTACCTGGTAGATGCTTATGACAAAGAGAGATTTGCGGAGGCCAAGAAAGAATTGGATGCTCTCCTCTCTGATGAAGCATTAGTCAATGTCCCCTTTCTTGTTTTGGGCAACAAGATTGATATCCCATATGCTGCCTCAGAAGATGAGTTGCGTTACTACCTGGGTCTCACCGACTTCACCACTGGCAAGGGTAAGGTGAACTTGGTTGACTCAAATGTCCGTCCCCTTGAGGTATTCATGTGTAGCATTGTCCGCAAAATGGGCTATGGAGAGGGTTTTAGGTGGCTTTCTCAGTATATCAAGTAGCGAGCTATAGGAAATGAAGATCTGTTTAGCTCTTAAGCTCAATGATGTTGCATACTGTATTGGTCAGACATCGTCTTTGTATAATCATGGTTGAAGGTATTTCCACGTTGTTTGATCCTTTGCTTTCAGTAAAATGGCATACATGCTACCTCATGTCCATAATTGAAAGAAAACCCAGAACCGATTGATGATTTGTGGTCTGTTATCAGCAATGAAAATTGTCAATACTTCTTATTCCCTGCTGCCTCATCTCTTCCTTGACACTTGAGTTTGTTACCAAATGGCATGTCCATTGTTTCCAAGAATTCAATGCCGCGAGAATCTTGTATTCAATTTGCTGTTTACTGCAATTTTGTATCTTCTGTTGCTTCACATCAGAGGGAAAGTGATATTTTTCCGGTAAAAGTTACACCTTTTCGATACCTGTGAGCAAGTTGTACTTTTTTGTTTTTTGCTAGTAAAATGTAAATCTGGTGCCCTTAAAGTATCCTATGGTAGGGCACATGAATCTCCACCGACAAGAGGTGTTGTTCTTGAAAATGGTTCCTTTCTCGGATCAAAGTATCTTGAGGTCATTTCCATTAACCTAAAAAAAGCAGTCTGTTGTTTGTAGGCTGAATCTTCGCTTTTTTAGTTAACGATCTTAAACACACAAGCTTTAATTTAACAATCAGAAGAAAAAAAATTTAAAAAATTAACTTTTTTAAGAAAAAAATTAAAAATTAATAGTCAATTATACATATTATAACTTAGTTTTGTTATAATTAATCATAATCACGGTTTTAAAACCTGACCAACCTATCACGATGCAGGTTGAATAACAAAATAAAATAAAATAATGGATGGAGTTATAATTATTTTCCTCTATTGATCATCACACTATTAGAATTCAAATTATTCATCTATTTTTTAGACTTGACATTAAATTTAGTATGAATAACAAAATTTGTATGAACACAACCAAAACCTGTGAGAAAGTTTTACCTCTTTTTCAATCTATACTTTCTTTAATGATTTGTGTTTCAAAGAAACTGATGGTCGATGATTCATCGAGTAAATAGCAGCATAAATTGCAGCCTCATGCTTGGCCTGTTCATTAATGGTTTTTTTTGTTCATGCGCTCAACAACACTATTCTATTGTAGCGTAGTGGAATTGTTTTTTTCCGTCCACATACCATTTGCAGCACTTAAAACCTTCATGAATATACTCACCTCTGTTATCAAACCTCTCCATCTAGTCTATTCTGATCTCTACCATGGCCTTCCATTTTTTGTCAGACTGGTCGTTTGGCGTGGGCATATCTTTTCTTGAGCAAGCTCTGTCCCCCTTGTTCATACACGAGACCGTTAAATGACATGCATGATCCAATTATGGAAGATCCACAGAACTATCATCTTCATCAAACCCGTCTCCATCAACTATAATCATCAAGGATCAAAGCGTCATGAACCTCCTTAATAGTAGTAGCCTTTGAATTCAATTTCTAAGTATTTGATAAAAATCTCACCATCTCCATACCATTGCAGGCCTTGCAAATGAAAGAACTCAGGTGGGATATTGATTCAAGCCTCTGTTAACCAAAATGAAATTCTGTAAAACCACAGTTCAAAATCTCTCAACGAACAAACATGGATTCACTCTCAATTTATGAGCTATTATTTCACTTGGTCTCTTGAACATTGGCTACCGAGTCCAGCTGAGCTCTGGAATGATGTACCTGGTCAACTCACGCAAGCAATGCTTTTCAAGTCTCAACAAAACCCCCACAAAGCAGAACTACCAAAAACAAACAAAATATACCTTCACAGAGTCCAGACGACTCAACCAGGCAATCATGAACCAAAAGACGTCCGAAATCTCCAATGGGCAATCTGCCCTATCATATGCATCAAAAGTCATTCCGAAAGTTCATTCAAGCTATTTTAAACTCTTTTCTGAGAAGGATAAAATAATGGCAATTCCATATTTTCACTCCATCTTCTCTTCTGATTGTCAACAGAGCTAGAGAGAGTCATTGTTGGTTGAGCTAGTATCTGCATCGAAACCAAAGGGCAATGAATCGTGACCTGTATGTTCCTTCCCTGTTTAAGAAAAAATTTAAAAAGATTGAACGTACAATCACTTCGTTGAAATATTCAGGGGCTCTGATAATGTCAAGCAAAAATGCAACAACTTCATGTTAAATTAAAAGGAATTCTAAATGTCAATTGTTCTCCAGAATGAGAAACTCTGATGTTTGCAGCTTGGTTTAAAATATTTAAACATTCTGCTTTATATAAATAAAATTCTCCAAGGGAAATAATGAGATAAAAAAAATATAATAATATGATAATGATTATGATGCTTTGTGTAAAAGCTTCCAAAGGAAATAACTATACAAAAAAAATATAAGCGGTGACAGTGGAGTGATAAGGTGTCGGTGGACATTTCTTATTATTATTTAAAAAAAAAAATCTAAATCCAAAATCAGCCTTATTATCTGCATAGCTTGCATATAATTATAGTGGACTTTTTCTTGCTTTTCATAACCAGTTATTTAAGGGTTAATTAATAACATATTTGACATTACGGTTAAAATATTATTTGTTAAAGATTTAATTTTTTATTTAAAATTATTTTTTTTAAAAGAAATTTCTTGTGAAACCACGTACCTAAATATTTAAAGCTCAGATGGGGATTATTCAACTACAAATAACAAATATATGAAACTACAAAAAGAAACAATATTATATAAATAAATAAATAAACAACTCCCAAAATGGGGATGTAGCTCAGATGGTAGAGCGCTCGCTTAGCATGCGAGAGGTACGGGGATCGATACCCCGCATCTCCATCCTTTTTATTCTTTTATTAAAGATAACATGAAGAAAACTAACCTAGATGATGTCAACTTTATCTCTCAAATTTGACTTCTAGGCTTCCAAAACAAGCACAAGTTTGGTGGCTTACTCGCCTACATACCTTCCTTTTTAGTCCATTTGTTCCTTGCCATTTTACCTAAAGTACAGCAGGCTACCAAGTTCAACTACTATTCCATTACACATCCCCCAAAATAATAATAATAATAATTTGTACTACTTCATATAGCTAGCTGCATTGTCCCTCCAATTCAATTTGTTCTACCAATTCGAGAGTGGTTTTCATCTTTTCAAGTTGTAATGGCAATCTTAGCTTTGCCAAAACCAAAATTCCTTGCCTTCACTCTAATTTTCATGGCCAGATTGTGCTGCTACACAGGTTATACCAATCACCATCACTTAAAAATTCATTTTTTTCCCCTCCCAATCCTCATGTGATCCTTTTCTTGACATTCTTTATGCTTTCTTGGATTCAAAACTAAGCAGGATATGCTCAGGTTGTCCCCGGACAGATGGTTGCTAAAGCATTGTTGTGTTTGAATAACAAGATTGTATGTAACTAGTTCATTTCCATCCCTGGTTGTGTTTTTTTTTTTTTTAATTGTTGTTGTTTACAAGTTGGGCTAGATGGCATGCAGATTTATTCAGGATGTGACAAGGCATATAGATTAACACAGAGTGGGAATCTTAATGTACCTGCTGAAGCAACTGACCTATTCTGTAATGGACCTTGCTTAGCTGAGACAAGATTAGCGCTGAGTTGCATTAATTATGTGATATCAGATTTTCTTTTCTATAATAAGGCTACTGTAAGAGACATAACTTATGCGCTGAGTGCTGGTTGCAGCTCCACCAGGCAAAGAGGTAATAGCACTGCTGTTCTCTTTTTGTTTCACAGTACTTTTTTTTCACGGTACTTATGGACTAACCCCTCGCTTAACTTCTGAGTTCGATCCTTAGGACACCATCTAGGAGAATTTATTCTTCTGAATTTCCTTGACGATATGCGGGGTGGGGCTTTAAGATCGCTTGAGGAGGGGACTTATTTACTATATGATAATGGCACAAGAATATAACATGTTCCTGTTCTGTTTACTTTAGGTGACTTCAATGTGGCAAGGTACATCAATGGTGAAACAAGTAGTGCATCAAGTTTGCCCAACTTGATTGGATTCTATTCCTTGGCTCTGTTCATTTGGTGGAGGCTATTGCTCTTGTAATGTAACTCATCAAATTGCAAGAATATACTACAGGACTTATAATAAACATGCCATCCAAGTTCTAAAATGAGAGAATTTATGAAGTTGATTTTACTTTCTAAATTGTTTATAGAATATATACTTGGTGTCAAGATATTTTGTCATAAGATAGACCAACTTCTTCGTACTTTTTTTTTTCTGATTATTCTTTTCTACCTCTTATGCAATTGATCCAATTAAGATGATGATTCATCAATAAATAATTAAAGCAAAGTTAACGAATAGATCAAAGAGGTAATAGCACCTATGCAACATCAGATCAGAAGTATATTCTTTCAGTGGTTGAACTCCAGACATCACCTATATATTTGGATACAGTGAGTTAACCATCAGAACAAGAGGCTTTTGTAATGAACCATGCAAGTACATGCATGAGGAATATTTTTAGCTTGTGGAGAACTTGTTTGTTGGAATCTGGATGAAATTCCTAGACATCGAATGGCCATCACTATTTCTTATGGGCTACATACTAGATACGGGCCTTTTCCTAAGAAAATACACTGGCCTGATCTCAAGCATTGATGAGGATATTCCTCAGCTTGTAAAGCACATAGATAAAGTAAAAGGGCGTCACTATTCCGTAAGAAGAAAACGGTTGCCATTAAAGTGGAGATGAATTGAGGAATGAATAGAAACAAATTGACTAGTAGAGATAATCAAGCAAACTATTAACTGAAAATTTTGAAACGTTTTTGTTCTTAATTATTCCATAACGGCTAGCCTTCATTAGTCTATAATCAAGCAATTATCAGTAACATTCTAGTTCTTCAACAAGAAAAGCCAATGAGATCCCTTTCTTACAAGAAACTGAAGCCATTTTACTGCCTAATACGTTACGCTCATTAAATGGATACAGCCTATAAAATGCTCAACATCTCATGCCACTTCTTCATCACTACCAAATTAAGCAACCTTTCCTTTTACATTGTAAGCAAAAATTTCAGCAAACTAAGTTGAAGATATGGCGTGCCAGTGTACCTCCTCATCAAAGAGTGCCTTCAGTGTAGAGGTTCCAAAGGAGGAAGTCACTACTCAGCATGAAACTGTGGTGGTTCAAGAGGTTGCAACTCCTGCTGTTGCTCCTCAGGAGGTGAAGACTGAGGAGAAGGAAGACAAGGATGCTTCTATTGACAAGAAAGAGGAGCCTGTCAAGGCTGAAGCTGGTAGTAGTAATTAGAATAAAGGATGAATGTTTGAGTTAGAGTCAATAAAGAGGGAAAGAGGGTTTCAATGTTTTAGCTACCTTGTTTAAAGAGGGTTTCAATGTTTTAGCTCCCTCGTTCAGGTCAATTTTAGTACTGGTAGGTTTTAGTGTTGTTTCTTGTTTTTGCTGTATCCACTTAGTATTTTTTCTTTCAAATGTTTATGTTGAGATCTTTCCTTTACCAAAGTAAATGACTCCTAGTTTTTTCTTTCCAGAGTCATTCAAAATAGAAAGAAATGAGGCATTAAAACATGTTTGTTTTTGTATTTTAAAAATATTTTAATTTTTTCTGTATTTTAAATTAATATTTTTTTTGATATTTTTAAGTTATTTTAATGTGATAAAAAATAATTTTTAAAAAATAAAAAAAATATTATTTTAATATATTTTTAAATAAAAAAATATTTTAAAAAACAACTACATTCCAAACAGGTTTTATTCCATAATTATAAACCTCATCTAATTTTCTAAATTGAATTTTACTTTAAATTTAGTTTTTCTATTATCAAATGTTATTTCAAGTTTTTCATTAAAAAAAATATTAATAGTGGTGGAGGAGGGGTTGGCAGGCCTGGCCCTACAAGAAAATGTTTTCTTGGCTCCTGCCTTATAAATATTTATAATTTTAGTAAAAATAACTAAAATTTGAATTTTTTTAAAATAATTTTTTTAATTGAACCTCCTTTAATTTTTTATTCTTGATCCGTCCTGATTATTAAAAACCCAGTTGACGCACTCGTTTAAGAGTTTGTTCACTTACCTCGTAACCCAACTTTAGCCTTGAATTTGATCGGATCCCATGCTGGACTTGCAAGGATAGTAAATTCAATAGCTTAATTTGTAAAGCTTGAAGAATTCAATATTTTCAGAAGATTAATGATTAGTTTCCATTAAATGATTAATACTTTCACCCTCAACATTACAGAAAGAACACCGGGCATCTTCCCTCCTAATAACTCCTCTGCTACCAAGGAAACGTGCTGAGACTACCATGAAGACATCAATTTTTGGAGGAGCATGACTCTTCCAAAGGATATTAGGAAAAGAATGCTCTCCTGGAAACAAAATACAATAAAAAAAATTGGTGCCTGATCTTGAAGAATTTATATTTTTTTATAACTTCAAAACGTACAATATTTTCAGAAGATTAATGATTAGTTTCCATTGAAAAGATAATTGGTTTTACCAAAACTAACATTCTCCAAAAATTATGGTAATTGTGAAAAATTAATGATTCCATTAACTAAGAAATTGAAAACATTTGCTGCACTTAAAGGGTGCATTGCATTAACCTGAATGAGGCACACACTGTGATGACTAAAGGGTTTCAAACATCAATGCTTGTCAACATAAAACGAGAGGTCACACTTTAATTAAATGAAGAAAAACAAGAAGTCTTATATAGTCCTCTATATATAGCATTCCTTCATCGTTGTTTTATCTACCACCACATTAAAAAGATATAGAAGTTTTTCTGGCAAAGTTTAAGCAATGGAGAGAGAGAGCAGCTTTTCTTCTGAAAGAAGCTATGCAAGGCCTGTGTTTGCTACACCAAAGGAGGAAGTCAAGACATGGAATGTGAAGTTGGAAACTTCAGTAGAGAATAAACCATGGTATGCTGTTCCTTCTGTCAGTGTGAAAGCTGAAGAAAAACCTACTGTTTCTGTTAAGAAACAACCTGCTAATTTCTATGCCCGTTGTATTGGTGGATAAACATTGATGTCAGCAAGTTAATAAGAGGGAAGTGGGATGTTTTACACAGTGCTTTTTGTTTGTTAATATGGCCATTTAGGGTTTCCTGTTTCTCAGTTCCTATTGGTCTTGGTTTGTGTCCCATTTTGTTATTGCTTCTGATGTAGAAATTTGGTTTGTGTATGGCTTCCCTTATGAATAAATAATTTCTTGTTTCATGACCCTTTGTCTTTCTATAACGTAATATGTGTCTTCGGTTTAACAATCTTCACAAAACAGATGGGAATTAAACGTAAAGAAGGGTAAAATCAGCTGTTTGAGCATCATTTTATGAGCATAGAAGTGTTAAAATCATCCAATGACAGTTGCCCTGCTCTAGCCTTTCTACGTCTTACAGCTAAACAAAGCTTTCAAACTTATATTCTACTGCCTTTCGTTGGTGTTTCCATAATTCCAAAACAACCATGACCCCATACACATGGAAGCTTGAGGAACTAATATTTATGCTTTTAATAGATTTGACAAGTGCTAGCTCCCAAGTTTTCTTTTAACAATAAAATTAAAGGGACCATTTATGTCATAGAAATTAGGTGTTGCAAAGGGTACCCTCTAGATTTGATTGTCTTCAAAATACATCGGCCAAAATTGTAGTGTTAGTCCGCCGTCCCCAAACTTCCTTACTAGGTTTTTCTGCTACTTTCACAAAATAGTAGTGCAAATCCTCCCCTCCTTGCACCATAATCAGCATTCGCACAGCTTTGGTTGCTGAAACTCCTTTGATCTTTTGCTGGATGTTGAAAGGTTGCTAGCTAGATGCTTCATTCATTCTTGTATTGCAATAACTAAAGCAAATTTAAGGAATATATCAAAATGAGCTAGCTAAGCATACAAACATTCGCACGCACGCAACAAAAAGATCATAAATCTTTTCTTTCAGTAGTTCAACCTCAGACATCACCTATTTGGATACAGTGAGTTAACCGTCAGAACAAGAGACTTTTGTATTGAACCTTGCAAGTGCATGCAGGAGGAACATTTCTAGCTTGTGGAAAGATTGTTTGGTGGACTCTGGATGAGATTCGTAGACATCAAATGGCCATCACTATTTCTTATGGGCTACTTGCCAGATACGGCCGGGGCCTTAATTTTCCTAAGAAAATACACTGGCCTGATCTCAAGCACTAATGCAGATAATCCTCAGCTTGTAAAACATGGATAGAAAGAAAGAGGGTGTCACTAACCAGTTAAAAAAAGAAAAAATCAATGGCTGCCATTAAAATGGAGATAAAATTAAGGAAATAAATAGAAACAGATAAGTAGAGATAATCAAGCAAACCATTAACTGAAAATTTTGAAACGTTTTTGTTCTTATTAATTATTCCATAACATATAGCTTTCATTAGTCTATAATCAAGCAATTATCAGTAACATTCTTATTTTCTCACAAGAAAAGGCCAATGAGATCCTTGTCTTACAAGAAACTGAAGCCATTTTACTGCCTAATACGTTACACTCATTAAATGGATACAGCCTATAAATTGCTCAACATCCCTGTCACTTCTTCATCATTACCAGATTAAGCAACCTTTCTGTTTACATTGTAATAAAAATTTTCAGCAAACTAAGTTGATGTTATGGCGTGCCAGAGCTGCTCATCAAAGAGTGCCTGCAGTGTAGAGGTGCCAAAGGAGGAAGTCACTACTCAGCATGAAACTGTGGTGGTTCAAGAGGTTGCAACTCCTGCTGTTGCCCCTCAGGAGGTGAAGACTGAGGAGAAGGAAGACAAGGATGCTTCTAGTGACAAGAAACAGGAGCCTGTGAAGGCTGAAGTTGGTAGTAGTAATTAGAATAAAGGATGAATGTTTGAGTTAGAGTCAATAAAGAGGGAAAGAGGGTTTCAATGTTTTAGCTACCTTGTTTTTGGTCAATTGTTTTAGTATTGGTACGTAGTTTAATTTGTGTTTGAAATATCAAAATAAATGATTCCTACCTCTTCTTTCCAGAATCATTCAAAAACATAAGTCAGTGTATATTTTATAGTTATAAAACCTCACTTAACTTGAAAAGTTAACTAACTGACTTTGAGCTAAGTTTTATTTTATCAAATATTGTTTCATGTGTTTTTCCTAAATAAAAAATTAAGTTGACC